TGCCAGCTGAATTAGCCCTTTAAAAATAGTCCTTGTTAATATAATTTCTTGTTGTTCGAATCTGCCAGATATGGTATTTAGCCATAAATGGAATTTTGTTTGTCAAAGAATAAAGTTTCTCCTACTGTGAAGTCAGGTTAAGAAAGCTGCAGAACAAGTCTCTGCTGGGCCAAGGCAGGACTGAAATCAGTAAATACTTCTAACTCAAGACTAATTTAGTTCAGCATAGTTTACTGCAACTGTTGTCAGAAGTAATAACAGTTGCATTCAGAGACTTGTGTACATTCCATTAGACGGTCAAAAGCAATAAAATGGAAGTGAAAACCAAACGAAGGGGGGAGGAGGAGAAACAGGTCTCTGGGCCTATTTCCTTATGATTGTAAAGAAAAAAACCTATATTTTTTGGGAATATCAGGTCCCATGTCCATCTCACTTAAATGTTATTTTCTTTGGCAGGGCAAAAAAGGCAAGGAAAATGCCTGGATTGAGCATGATGTTTGGAGGATGGAGATTTATATCTCTCTAGGAATTCTGGGACTTGCTATGCTGGCCATACTAGCAGTAACATCAGTTCCATCCATCAGTCACTCTTTGACCTGGAGAGAGTTCCATTTTATTCAGGTATGAATAAATCTACATTATGGGTGATCTGTCTTCCTTTGTAGGATTTTGCATGTCAGTTAAGATCATCAATTAAAAATATCAATATGCAGTGGGGTTCCTAGAAATCAGTCCAGAAGTTTAGTCATTGTTCTCTGGCAATTGCTTAGCAAATAAATATTGACTTTCTCTCTTACATGGCAAAAAAATGGTTGCCATGAAAGGTTGTTGGATATTAGCGATTGTCATCATGAAATGAAACCTCTCTCTCACCTGCAGGACACCAGTTTAGATATAACCCAGAATAACAGTTTCTTTTCATTTACCAAAGTTCAGTGGTGTGCACAGCCTTAGATCATCCCTGTTCATTTCAACATGCCCCTTTGCATTGTAGCATTAGGAGTGCGTGGTCTAGAGATGGCTATGCCAATTTTGTACTACATGGGATCCCATTATACAAGCAGGATTGTCTGTTGTTTGCCCCTTCGCTCCTTAGAGCCCACTTCCTAGCTGTTTTGAGATACCTGAGCATCACAAAGAAACCAGAGTTCAGGGGCAAAAATTCACCCTTAACGTATACAGGGAACTTCAGTCTTCAGTAATTCTAGCCCTGCCATACCCTTCAAAAAGCTGTGTTCAAGAAAAGAAAATCTATTTAAAAAAAAATCAGCTTCAACCCTTAGTTACAGCAACAAATCCATTTTTGGATGCTAAAATTATACACATGTACTTGCCTTACTCAAGTTAAAGGCTAATGTCTGAGGCTCTGGTTCTCCTGCCACTTACGTTATATAAATCAAGAATGACTCCATTGAAGTTAGTGCAGTTACACAAGTGTTGAATCAGGCTCTGAGGACCTAAGTTTGGAATTTTGATCTAGTAAGCACCTTGTACTTGAAAACTTAGTAAGAAATGTTTCTCTCTTACCAGTTCTGTGATGTAGATTCTTATATACCTTAGTACAGAGGTGCCCAACCTCTAGACCATGGAGCCATGGCATGCAGCCCACAGGGCTCCCCGTGAGTTGGCAAGTTTGGTGGTCGGGAACCAATGGCAAATGATACTGACACCCGTCCCCTGCTGCCAAATTCCCAAGCCCCGCAGAGCCAGACTGGAGCCAGGCCATACACCTGCTTCCCCTCCCTCCTGCAGCCAGATTGATACTAGGGCAACCTCCTCCCTCCTCCCTGCGCCGTACTGTGGCCAGATCAGGGCCAGGCCATTACCCCCTTCCTCTTCTCTGTGCAGCCATATTGGGGCCAGGCCATGGGGTCTTGGGGGGATGCCTGCCTGGGCTCATGAGGCAAGGGGCTCTGTTCGCACCTCCCCTAACCCCCGCCTGCCCAAGCTCCAGCCACAGCAAACCCAAGCCAGCAGGTGCATGCTCCACTGTTAAGAGGCTAGGATGGAGGGTGGGGGAAGGAAGCCTCGTGGACCCAGCCCAGCTCCCCCAATACCTCAGCCAGGATACCTAGAATGCAACCTGCAGGGCAAGGAATGGGCTCCCTTCTTCCACCCCCCTCTTGACAGGGGCAGCTGGCTTGACAGTGTGTTGCCCCTGCCTCTTGACAGGGGCAGCATGCAGCCTCCAGTTCAGCTTTGCCATGGCTGGAGCTGGGGCAGGGGAGGGGGGAGACAGAGTCCCCCTCCCCCCGTGCAGCCCAGCCCAGGTCCCCTGGAGACCCCAACAGGGGTAGTTGCGGGGAGGGCACACAGTGTGGGGGGCAGGCCTGGGGAGAGGGGCAGTCTGGGAGGTTGCTGGAGCTCCCTCTCCTGTTCGCCAGGGCCAGAGCAAGCAGGCTTGTGTCCCCCCCACCCAACAGGCAAACACCTGTTGGGTTCAGTGGCACTCATGATGTTTTGTGTAAAACGCCATGAGTTAGAGTGCCTGGATCTCCCAGCCCTGACCCCACAACTGTGGAGCTCAGGCAGGGAGATGAGGATCTCCCTGTCCCAGGCCTGGGATCATGGGGCAGGGGCTGGGAGCTCCCTGCTGCTAGGGCAGGGGAACATTGTTCCTGCCCCAGCTCTGGTGGCAGAGCCCACCCAGCAGCAGGCAGCTCCCAGGGGCAGGGACCAATGTCCTAGCCCATGCCAGGAGACGGCTATCTCCTGGCCCCGTGCTCCCTGCCAGCCCTTGGGCCAGCACCCAGAGGGAGCCTAGAGCTCCACCTGGCTGCTGCAGGGGCTGGTGCAGGGCTCCCACATCCCTTCACGTGTAGATGCCTGCCCAGGTCAGTTTAGGGTAATTTACTCTAAGGTAAACTGACCCAGGAGTATTTGCATGTGTAGACACACCCACTATATAGTTAGCAAAATAATCCTTTTTATTACTATTGAAAGAAGATAAATAACTCATGTTTTTGTATCTTTTCAGACCAACATGGGATATTTAGCCCTAATGCTATGCACAATTCATGCTCTGGTATTTGCCTGGAATAAATGGATCGACATAAATCAATTTGTCTGGTATACACCCCCTACATTTATGCTAGCAGTTTTTCTTCCTATTGTGGTCTTGCTTTGTAAAAGTGCACTGCTTCTGCCATGCCTTAGGAAGAGGATACAGAAGATCAGATGTGGCTGGGATGTTAACACAGAAACAGATAAAACATGGATGACTTCCAGGTTGTAGACTGAATATGGAAGTTTATCTTGTTGCCATGAAAAGATATACATATATCTATGAAATGTTTACATGCTGGATTTGCCCCATTTGGTTAAATGTTTCTTTTGTACTTTTCATTTCTACTTCTGTTGTGGGGTATGAAACCCACATTCAAATTTGGACCATGGGTGAGAGAGTAAAGTTTAAATTTAATTTGCATTCAGGAATTGACTCATTTCTTTATTGAGTCTGTTATTTTAAAATCCAGCTTCCTCATCCCCACAAACTGACTCAGCAAAGAGGAAATGATGTTAAATCACCACCTCATAAATTGACCACAGAAAGTAAATGAGAAAACAATCTTAAAAAACCAGATCCGAGTCTTATATTGTAATGGCTTTACTCTGCTTCTGTTACTTAAGATTGGAAAATGTTTTCCTACTTTGGGTGAGGTTTTTAAAAAGTAATTATAAAATCAGTTTTGTAATTATGAAATCAAACTTCCACTTAGATTTGAATGAGGAACTAATGAAACCTCACTTTCTCTGTGATAGCTAAGCCTGGTTGAATGATTCTGGTTGAATAATTCTTGTTGGGATAATTTTAAATAAATTATGCAGTAAACACCTTTTTCATTATTCACCCAGCTTTAGATATATCACTTTCATTTTCCCTGCTGGCTTGACTATGGGACCCTTGGCCGGGATAGGAATAAATGATGGCCAACTGCTGCTGGGACCATTCAGATAAGAGTTGCACTTGTTTCATGGGAACATACACGTGCACACTGCATTCTAAAAATCAGGAGCACATGAAAACTGAAGTTACGTAAAGAATCATTTGACATGGATGTGGATCATGAAAATTACTCTAATATATATTACTAGAACTAGCACACGTAACATAGATAATGGACTACTTCATGTTGCTGTAGTAACAGTACCTTTTGTATTTCTTGAATTGTTTTAGGGATTTTAATTTAAAACAGTAATTTCTTCCCTTGGGTATAACAACACATTGCCATAGTACAAGACAAACAGGAGGTTGCCCATAGGAAAATATACAATTCAAAGCTGTATACACTAGCTAGTAAAGCCTAACAGTGACAGATATTGTCTAAGGCAGGGGTTTTCAGGAGAGTACCCCTTCTGGTGAATACCCCTCCTGGGGTGCAGGCAGGGGGAGTCCCCCCAGCAGCCAATTGCCAAGCAGGGGGGACATTCCCTCCCTTCTGGATGTGGAGCAGGAGTTGGGGGGGCCCTGGCGGTCAGTCACCAAGCAGGGAGGGGGGTCCCCTGGCAGCCGAATGTGAAGTGGCAGCAGCAGCACAGCAGTGCGCGGGTGCATAGCAGCAGTAGCAGCGGCACTTCCCAAGTACCCCCACTTCTCTGTACTGCCACTGCATACCCCCTGGGGCCTTGCCAAGTACCCCCAGGGCTACGTGTTACCCCGGTTGGCAACCCCTGGTCTAAGGAGCCAGTTTACAAGATGAATGCTCAAAAACTACTTGTACAGACAGACATGTGCAATTATCAAACATTTCCAATTCAACTTCTGTGAGTAAAACATAAATTCAACCAGAAGATATTATCAGGGATGTTACTAGAGCTTCCAGGTTAATCAGAACCTTATCTGTCCCCGTGTAATACTTCAAAATAGTTTACTAAAATGCTGTAGAATCATGAGCCCTTTACCCAGTTTAACTGGTTTAGTTAACAGCACAATACCTGGACTCCTCACTTTACCTAACAAGCCAGCTAGAATTTTAAATGCACATAGCAATATAAAAAGTGCTCATCTCCCATTTCCAGTCCGACTGTGGTGCTAAAAAAAGTTCAGATTTCATTATAAATTGTCCAAAGTTTAATTGAAAGATGTGCCTAGGTTTAACACACACATCCAAGTTCAGCTTTTATTTGCATAGTGCAAGCCCCTCAATTCATTCATTTAACAAAGGATGTGGCTTTGTGTAACCTTTTGTTCTACCTCTAAAGGCAGCCCTGATTTGCTTCTTATTTAGAGAATTTTGGAGAGCTCCACTAACTTCCCAACTTTCTTGAATTACTGGTCAAGTCGTTGTAATAATTGTTTACAGTTTCATTGTGACACAGCTGAATCTGATCCTTAGTATTTGAAAAGTGCACAGTGGAGGTGGATTAAACACTCCTTGAAAAAGCCTTTCAAAGATATTAGTATAGACCAGGGGTAACCGTTTCAAAGCCACTTTGAAATCAATGGGAGTTCAGTACCTAAATGTCTTTGAGGGCCTTAGGTGCCTAAATCTCATTGCAAGTTAATGGGGTTAAAGCCCCTAACAATTTTGGAGAAGGACCACAGGGTTCTAATCATCAACATACTTTAAAAATTTTAAAGCTAAAAGTCGTCTGAATGGCAGTAATTCACATGGCATCATCTCAGGCCAGGTTCTTATGCCTATGTCAACCATACAACGAACCCTATAGCACTTGGCATTAATTGTTAGCAGAGAAGCCAAGAACTCAATGAACTTGGAAACTAAACCGCATTCTCTCTGCTCCGTTAGCTGCAATCTCTCAACTCTGATTTCAGGCATATTAAGTAGATTGTGGGTACATCTACATGTGCAAATGCTTCAGGGTGGATTGAGTCTAAAGTAAACCTACCTCAGGCAGGTGCCTAAATGTGCGGGGAAGCAGAAGCAGATTTGCTGTTCATGACGGCAGTCTACTCATGCCCCTGCCAGCCCTGCATCAGCCCCCTGCAGCAGTCAGAGGGAGCTCTAGTCACCTTCCGGCCCCATGACCATGGACCTGGCGCTGGGAAATCAGGATCTCCTGGCCCTGTGGCCCTGTGATTGTGGAGCGGGGAGCTCCCTGTGCCAGGCAGGCAGACATAGTCCCCACCCAGACTCCCATGGCAGAGCCTGCCCCAGCAGCAGGCAGCTCCCAAGGGCTGGGAACAATCTCCCTCCCATACTGCCTGACTGACAAGGAGCACATTTTCTCCCGGTTGGCTGTCTACACATGCTGTACTGCACAGTAATTACTCCCGCATAAATTTGCTACTTGTATTTACAGTAATTTGTTCTAATCTCTAGTAAAGTGTCTCATGTAGACATGCCCACTGTTAGGGAACTGTAGGCCATGTCAGAGTGAAACATCATAAGCACTACAACTGCTTCAGAAAGCAATAAATAAAATGTTTACGTATGTAGATCCCTATTTATCTAGCTGTATTTTACTTAGTACCCCTGAGTTTATATCCATCCAATTTAAGACAGTAGGGAAATTATTTTCATAAGCCACACTGAATTTATATAAGTACAGTAGCTGAAGAAGATAAAGAGATAATGATAATTTTGGGTCATGGCATCTCAAAATGCATTTAGCTACTAATACAATATATTTTGGAGTATTTAAAAAACTTGTACATTCTGATTAATTCTGTGAAATATCTATTATTTTGGCAACACTGGTATATACTGAATTAGCTGTTGCAGATGTCCCAAACCTGGACTTGAATGGTGTAACTGGAAAAATTAAGTCATTAACTTGAACAATATGATAGCTACAGCCTAGAGCTATCTATGTGGGTGAGTGGGTTGAAGCATGGGAAATCCTTAAACAGAAAAAAAAATTAAACTGTTAGAAACTACTGTTAAAAAGGACCATGCTGAGTGAGAGAGGACATTTTCAGTACCACTTGAAGAAACTAAAGGGAGTTAGTTCAGGAGTCAAAAGGGAATCCATGACCAGGAAGACTAAGTCAGAGGCATGGGGCCCAGAGGGATGGCTGAAAGTACTAGATGAATCCTGAAGAATAATCAGGGGAGTTATGAACTCCAAGGCAATGAATAGCATAGAGCAGAAGTTGGCAATGCTTTCTAGCAGTTGGCCACAGTTACCCAACTCAGGTCCAAAGTGGGCCAGTGCTAGGACCTGGCTGCTGCTATTGCCGTAACTTCTCCCTACCATTTATCGCAGCATGAGTAAAGCAACTTTGATGCCAAAACACTGCAAAAGCCTCCTTGCTCAGTGGGCCACATCCAGTGCCTCCATGGGCTAAATCTGAATCTGGCCCATAGTTTGTAATGTTGCCAATCCCTGGTAGAGATTTTTCTTTTTTCTTTTTTAATTATTAACAAATCCAACTGATCAAATAACAAATTGAGGATTTAGAAGATGCATCCAGTCTCCTAAAACAGGGCTGTCCAACTGGAAGTCTACAGGTTGCATGTGGCCCAAGAGTTAATATGCCTCCATGCTCCTAGCTATCTGCTACTTCCCCTGTTTCTCCAGCTGAAGCAGTAGCTGAGATCTCTAGCCTCCCCCTCCCTCCTCCAGCTTCTATTTCCTGCCCCTGCCACAGAGGGACAGAATGGTATAGCATAGCCCATGATACTGGGGGAGCCCATGGCCGGGGAACACATGCACACAATGCAGTGGCAGGATTGCACTTGTGTGCATGGTGCAGTGTTGGGGGGTGGCATCTGCACACACAGTGCAATGTGGGGGGGTGTAGCTATGTGGAATGTCGGGGGAGGTTTGTGCTGGTGTGGCCCACATGGCATGTAGCCCCCGCTGGTGTGGTTCCCGGCCACTTAGAAGTTGGGCATCCCTGCCTTAAAATGTACAGTGCTCCCTTAACCCAAGTCAGTGTCCCCAGAAGTTGGTTGTTTTGGGGTTTGTTTGTTGTTGGGTTGGGGGGGGGGGGGGGGGGTTCTTTTCAGTCCTTGCAATTTTTTGGTGGGGGGGGGGGGGGGGGGCGGGTCTTCCTTTCAGTCTCTGACAAGTTTCTTGATGTTTCTGTCAATGTCAAGCTTTTGTATTTTTTCATCTCTATATAATAATTCATGCTCTTTTTTGTCTAAACTCTGCATAATACAAATCTCACTATATTCTACTCATCTTTGCTTTTAAATTTAGTTGTAAGTATTAGCTCCTAGAACTGCACTTCCCTTCAATATTCAAAAAACTTTCTGAAACTTTCTGATGTGGAGACAGGAGAATCTTTTTTTAGCAAATTTCAAGTGTTTCCACCAAATTTCCAAGTAAGCATCTTTTTTCCTTCTCGTCTCTAGAACGTGGACTTGATCAGAGAACTTTTCTACTCAAACTTCTTTAAACCAATCAATGATTTTAGGGGTGTCACTTCTCTTCCAGGCTTTTGCAATTGTAATTCTTGCAGCCACTAAAAGATGAATGATCAATTATTTATGGCTCTTAAGTTGCAGAGTTCTCGGGAAGGTTCAATAAGAACATTAAGTGGTGTTGTGATAGTTATTTCTCTCACCATGTCGCCAACCTTCTTGCAGAAAGGTTTAATTCTGGGACACGTGTACCATACGTGGTAGAATCCTCCTGACTGCACTCCTTCCAACATTTGCCTGTTCCTATACCTTAAATATGTTTATTTTTAAGTAAGATATTGTCTCGGACGGCCAGGGCCGACTCGAGTTACGCTCGTACGTCAGGGCGGGCTGGTGAATGGAGAGGCAGACACAACTTATTGGTTGTAAAAAACTTTACTCACGCCGCTTGCAATCACGACGCAGGTGGTCCGGTCGTCGGAACAACCACATGAGTTGTTCCAGCTGGCGGGGCCCAAGCCAGTTAATCCGTCCGCAATTCAAAGC